ACACAGCCCTCGCAGCCACGGAGATTGCAGAGGAACCTGGAGAGCCTCACCTCCCCGCCGGACAGTGAGGCCTACTATGGCGAGACAGACAGTGATGCTGACAATGTGGCTCAGGAGAAGCACCGCCGGGCTCGCAAGAAGACCCCACGCTCCCCGCCCGACAGCACCACCAGCAAGGTGGATGCGCCTCAGGATGAGGTGTCCCTGTCGGAACAGAGTGGCTACAAGAGGGCTGCTGCGCAGGGGGGACCTGAGGTGGCCAGCTCCGGAGGGGTGGCCAAGAGGGAGATTACCTGCCTGCCTGGCAGCCGCACCGACACGCCATTCTCGGAAAGTGAGGGACAGTTGCAGCCACCGTCAGCAGAGGGACGGGAGCCTTCTCCAGAGGCGATGCTCCTGCCCCATGCAACCAAGGCTATCCGAGCAGAACGCCATCTCATCCCCATGGTGGGGCCAGTGGAGCACCCAGTTGACGAAGACCTGACCACCACATATGCAGAGAAAGCCAAGCAGGCCAGTAAGTCCTCTGACCGTGCCACTCATCCATGCCCTCTTCCTATGCTGGATCTCCTTCCAAAAGCCTCATTCCTGCAAACATCAAGTGGGTTAGCTCCTCTAGCTTAATAAGAAGCAGAGTCAAGTCAGACCTACAGGGACCGGGGCTTCCTATTACAGCTTTGGTACTGGGGTCTACCTCATCCAAGATGTCCCAGGGAACAGATGAGAGAAAGGATATGGGATCTGAGTCACTCATAGAAGCTCTTGCCACACAACCAGCTGTGCTCTAGCACCTATATATGCTGGAAACAGGATGCAGATCATTGGTTTCTTCAAGACTTTAGGCTGAAGAAAACTCAGGGAAATGAGGCTGTCAGGAAAAAAGTTGGGGGCTAAATTTCCCAGGCCTGGTCTTTCAGAGATCTCACAGCAGCTCAGTTTGCTCCTTGGCTATCTGCGTGTCAAAGCACAGGGCATTGATTCCGAGGGGCTCTCGAGGAGCACCTTCTTCAGCTCAGCTCTCCATGATCACAGAGGCATGTAGGATTACACATGATTAAGGACCAAGCAGAGATAATTTTCAGTCAGCATAGCCTTAAAAGAGTGTTGTCAGGAGCTCATTTATTTCTCTCACCCTGTCAAGCTCAGGGAGGGACTTGTCTAGATGGACTTTCAGAGGATATTTTCTTTGCAGGCATTTATCGCAGCAAGGGTGTCCATGCCTGACAGCAGCTGGTGAGCCCTGGTAGAATTTATCACTTTTTAGGTATTGGCAGTGGAGGGCTGCCAGCAAGGACAGGCAGGAGCTGGTGGATCAGCTGTTGGAGCAGTTCCTTGTAGTGGGACCCCTACTTGTCAAGACCTGTCCAGGTGGAATAAAGTACTGAAAAATGTAGTGTAGTACATGGGTGATGGACTTGAAGTGACCTTAATTGTAAATATCTTTCCTGGTTTCTGCTACACATGGAGTATTTCAAACCCAAACACAAAGGCAGAGCAAGATGTTACCTGACTTCACAGTTGTGATCTATCCAATAATATTAATAACGAGGCAATCAAACACTTGTTTTCATATGAGTACCTCAGTATGATTGACTAATTTACACTTCTCTGAGCTTAGAAATAAAGCAGGTTTTAGAAAAGAGATTAGCTGGGGGACAGAATGTGAAACTGAGACACAGAAATGTTACTAGATTGAACGAGAAATAAAGCACACAGATTCTAATTCTGATTCTCTGCTCCAAATGCTAGACATTTTTCCCCAGACCAGATAATATTGCAAGGCAATTGTTAAGCCTCTCTTTTGTCTTTTCCTAGGGCTAAACATTCCTTTATCTATTCTGCCTAAGGGACCCTATAGAGGTAACTTTCAAATCTAGGCTGCTTCCATCAGGCAGGGCACTGTCTTACTGCTCTGCCCTGTGCTGAGAGGACAAACTCGGTTGGGTCCCTTATGTCAGGCCCTGCTAGGCAGTACAACTGACCTGATGCCTTGTACTATTTCTTTCTAGTCTTTAGCACTCTCCTTAGGATAGAAAAGAAAGTAGCAATTTCAGCCTTCCTGAGGATGAAGCTATTTTCTCCCCCTTGGAATAACGTACAAGCATGAGGTGAATGTTGAGAAAGGCATGTTCAGCTGCTCCCTGCCATCTGATAGTCCTAGCAGTGCATGAGCAATTGCTTTACATCAAGACTTATTTCCATGGACAGTGTCAGTACAGAAGGCTCCCAGGAAAGCCATGTATTTAATGCAGAGCATTTCTGATGGCAAAATAATATCCCATGGTGGAAGGTGATGCAACTCTATTGCCAGCTAGAGGTAGAGTTCCCAGAAGCACTGCAGACTGAGATAATATTTTATTCTCCTATTACCCCTCCACCACTTACCCCCTTTCTGGATTATGCTTGGCCATGGGTGTCCTTATGTAAGCCATGGATGGCAACTCACATAGCCAGCTTGGCCTTTTCTTAGGTTAGGAATCTTGGCAGTAAATGTGAAGGCAAAACTCTATGTCCTGATCATGTTGGAGCACAGCAGCAATTAAAACAAAAGTCATGAACAGCAGCCGGTAACTCCATGAAGGAAGGAAGCAAGGAAGGAAGAGGGACGGAATGTGTTCATTATGTGGTGAACGGAGCTAAGGAACACCTATACCTGGGATAAACAGGGGAGGATGTGGGACGGCTGAGCTGCTCTAGCTCCGTGGAGAAGCTGCCTGCAGAGAAGCTATTGGCATGGGAGGCAAATGGTATAGCATCTCTTGCCAGAAAGATGTAGCCTTGGCAAGGATGTTTGGGCATGCATTGGTTCAGCCCTGCCGCTGCTCCAGGCTCCCACAGAGCCAGCAGAGTTTAAAGCTCTGTTTCTCTGCCTTTCCTTAGCAATACCCACAGCACAGTAGCCTACTCTGGGACATAGAGATTCCTGGGTTTTGCTAAACAGGAATGCAAAATCAAGCTCATTGTTTAGAAGCTAGGCAAGTTTTTTAAATCGGAGTTAACTATGGTAGGTGACTTGGATGATCAGTCATGGGAGCCTGGGGCTTGAGATATATGCAGTAGATGTTTAAGGACCATTCTGACTACCTAGTCAGACGTCTGCCTTTTGGAGCACTATCTATCTAAAAATATTCCCAGTGCATCTGCTCAGCACATCCTCCTTGCCTTGCCATGGCCTTCTCCATTATAGCTCCCACCACTGCACCATGAGAATGTGAAAAGCTCCTTTTTGTTTGTTGGCACTGTTACCCAGATGGTTCCTCACCTTTTCTTTCTAGAATGTAAGCATTTCTCGTGCCTGCTCTGATGTTTTCTCAAATTTTGGGGGTGTTTCTCTTGTCCTTTGTATTCCTTCTTTCCAACTTTTCACTGTCATTTTTAAGCTACAGAGACTTTCTCCCTTTCCCACCTGTCCCTGCACCTCAGGCAAACAGAATTACAGGTACAGTATTTCTAGATGACTGTCTAGAAACAGCAAATTTCTAGATGAATAATTGAAATCCCTGTACAAGAACAGAGATGCATAATTCTTTTGCCCACCACCAAGAGTAGCAACTGATACTCTTCACAGCTCTGTTGCCCTGCAGGGATCTCAGTAAGACTGCTGTCGCCTGTCAGCTCTTGAGATCTGTAGCTCTGCTTTTTATTTCCTATCTCTAGAGCTTTTGTAGACCTTTGTCCTCACCACATGCTTTCCATAGCTCTGAGCTTTCCAGATCATAGACAAGTTTATTCAGCCCTCCTACTTTCCCTTTTCTGTATGATTTTCCTTTGTTTCTGATGTCGTTAGCAAATCTGACCTGCACTGACTGTATACTGCCCTCAAGGTCATCCATGAAACTAGGAAATACTTCCCATATTTCCTCACCATCTTTCCTAGTCTCACCATGATGGGTGATTCATGCTCTGATTGTTATTGATTCGTTTTCTCTTAATGTTCATCTCATTGACCTTTCTTCAGTACATGTATTTTTTTTTGCATCAACTCCACCAACTCCTGGTAACTACAGCTGCTTTCCCTGCCTTTGCTAAGAGGATTCAAACCACGCTGCGATTGCCGGAGGTGACACTGCTGTCTAACACCTGCTTTGCACTGTAGTAACACAGGAGCAAATGGAGCTCACTTATTTACACTAGGCAAGGATTTGACTCTGGGAGCAGAGCACAGTGTGGTGGCAAGTACCAAGAGCCCAAGATGAGGATTTAGCAGTGGGTGGGGTGGAGCAAAATAAGCGCAGGGAAGAGGGGGCAGCAGCTGATGGTGCCATCTCACGATGCCCTGCATGTCGTCAGCTGGTGAGCTGTGCCTCTCCTTCCCCAGCAAAGATACAAGGCCTTAGAGCTCCTTAGAGAGGCAACAGCCCTTGCAGCAACAAGCAACAGCTCCTTGCAAAGTTCCTGCCCTTTCATAATTTGCACATTGATATTAGCTGATTTTTTCCAATCTGGGGGATGAGCATGTACATCATCCTAGCCCTCCACAGGACATGACTAGGACATGCCTGCTCAAAAACCACTCAGAGCATTGCTGATGCAGACAAGTGGGGAAGTGTGGGAAGCCACACACCGTCCAAATGTGGGGAACTTGCCCTGCAAGTAATAGGACTTCAGTCTTTATTGCTACACTCTGGCTGCTCTGCACCCTGGTGTTTTGCTCAGTGGGGCAAGAGAACAGCCAGCAAATAGGGACTCTTTGCTGTACTTTGAAGGAACTACAGGAGAGCATTCATACTTGTGAATAGCCAGTATTTTGCCTAATCTGAAGAAACAGAAGTACAAATTTGTTTCCTTCCCACTAAACCAGTAACTTGCTCTCTTTAAAGAGGTGATTAATCCCTGAGGAAACTGGGGATCTTTAGGGCCTCAGTTTGTCATCAAAGTAAAGGGCCAAGCCACATCCCTCCCTGAGATGATTTCTGTGCTGCTTGGACAGTGCAGAAGGAAAGAAAGAGATAACAAGACAGAAAACACAAATAAAAAATCTGAATGAGTTTCAGGAGGTTAGTGGAAAGCAGGAGCTTGTGGCTGGGAGAATCAGACTATAGTTGTCACGAGTAATTGCTAGTGAGGTTCTTTGGTTCCCCATGGCTCCTGCAGTGCCCTTCCAGAGGCTTGGGATCCATCTGTAGCCAGGGCTGCTTCTCCTCAGCCACCTGTGCTCTCTAAGGTGCACTATATTTTCACACCCATCCTAAATCATCTCCCAGGGACAATGGTCTCAGGCTTTCTCACAACTGGAAATACGCTAGCAGAAGACAGACCTACCGTCTAGTCCTAACTTGCTATCACACTGTAGGAATTTGTTTCAGTGCAAGAAGTGCTTCAAAACATCTCAATTTAAACTTATCCATTGGACTATTTTTAGTTCCTAGGACTCAAGAGCCTCTCCATGTACGGTACAGGAAGGAAGGGAAAAATGGGTGGGGAAATTTCCTTCTCTGCTTTATATGGGCCTGGCTGCCTGTGCAGAGTCATCAAAGTTATTACATTCCGTATCAGAAAAGGAAATCCTTCTTGTTT